GATCAGAACAGATACTACACTTGATCTTAGCCAAAAGGCCGAGAAAGGTATCGGGCCGTTTTTTTTTGTTTCGCTGCCCAGGGGCAATTTGTCCACAATAGAATGGTCCGGGACCCAGTCATATCTCAGACATGTAGCCAGAATGTACATTTCTTTGGATCTCAACCACGTAGGGCCTAGTTGCACCACTCCCCATTCGCCAAGATTTTAAATGCATTTGGACAGACTCGTTGTCCAGATGCATTCAAAATCTCTTTGGATCTCAACCAATCCCCGAGTCATCTGGGACAATCAATGCTGGTGGGGTGTTGTATCGCAATATCTCAGTTGAATCGAACGGGAAGCCGGACCCCGTTTCAAGAAGGTAAAGCTCCCCACCAAAAGAATGGAGCAACCAGCGCCGTCTTAGTAGTGGGGGCTGCTCCTATCACCCCTCCTCCTAGGGAAAAGCAAAAAAAAGAAGAAGAAAAAAAGGGCCTAGTTGCACCACGCTTGATTTTGGATGCACTTGGACAGACATGCTGTCCAGATGCATTCAAAATCTTGGCGGCGAGTGGTGCAACTAGCTCCATATCACAAGGGGGTCACCCTTTCTAAAAAAGAAAAAAAAAGAAAGACCTGGTATCTGCATTCGAACTTCAATCTGTAATTCAGGAGTTCATGGGTGGACCATATTCCCTTCAGCTGCATATCAGAGACACAGTCAGGGTTCAACCCAGGGCTGACTATATTCTTCTCTCATTTTCACCTTTCTCTATCTACCTACCACTACTCCTAATCCTATACAGGGGACGCCTGCAAGCATAGCTATCTCTCACGATGTTGCCCCCCACCCTGATCGGCAGTGGTCAGGGACTACTAGGGTGGGGCTGCTGCTGGGGGGACCCTGCTAATGCAAAGACCTAGCATTTTGTCAGTGGCTGCACCTTCCGTCTACTTCCCCTACCCCCCATAGCGTAGAAGCAGTGGCGATAGCCAACACTCTTCCACACACCACGCACAACCCACTGACACTCACTCACACACACGTGCTGCTCATATACCCTACTAATACCGATCAGGGGCGTTTTTGCAGCTTCAATGATTTCTTTTTTTATGTGTGAAAATAGAGAATACGCGCCTTGCCCAATAAATTACTGAATAGAGGCATCCTAACGCGCCGTCGCAGACGGTGTCAGTGTCGTAACCTTATGTCTCCGCAATAAGGTTGTGGTAAATTTGCGCGTGTTGGAATGTAGTCTCCTTTGTGGGACTCATGCGTCCTCCTTTTTTTTTGGGTCGACCACGCAGTGCGTGCGGGAGTTTCCAAATGAGGAAAGTCTCCATGTGGAAACGCATGGCATATCCTAAAGCAAAGGGCGTTGGTGTGGCACGCGAATATGGCGTGGGTTAAAAATCCAGAAATTGAATGATCGCTGCCTCCTTCTAAGGCGCGGCATTCCTCGGCCACGCGGACAACGAACAGTCCACCACCAACCCCCTCAAACCTCGTGACCCCCCCCTCAAACCTCGTGGACGAGGGCAGACTGGAAAGACCAGCCTTCACTATGCGACAGGGCCGGAGTAAGAGAGAGGCGCAGTGTTGGGAACATACGTGAGGCGAACGAAAAGAACGACAACGGACGCTCATCCACAGCAAAGGACTACCGATGACGGTGCCTCCATTTCGGCAATGGGTGTGCCTCCCCCCTCACACCCGTACTTTGCTACCAACAGACACCGCGGGAGAGAAAGGAAGTTGGCCACAAATGGAAAGACGGCCTCATTATCCGGCTCGCTTGTTTCCACTCAGCGGGGCCTTCTGAATTTCCCTTTCTCGCGGACAGCGCACACGGCCACAACTTACTGTCACATGCGTATGGGAGAGGACAAGTTTTGGGTCGGGTGCAGCTGGCGACGTGAAGGATCTGCAAATGATGACAACCACGAACTAAGGATTCTCGGGTTGTACGTCGTATCTTTTGATGTCAGAGCCCTCTTTTTTTTTTTTTTTTTTTTATAAGTAATCTATATTCTTCTCTCAATCTATTTCATCTTTTTTCTTGGTAGTACGCATCTATCTCATCCTCTCACTAGTCTATTTATAGTACGGGGGAACACCAACCAACCTGGATCTCTCCCCAGCCCACGGGGTAGGTTTGCACCACAGCTGTGGTGCGAGAGCAAGGCTGTACCAGTCCCTCATCACGGTGACGAGGGGTG